GCCCCAGCCCAGACTGCCGCGGGCTCCGGCCGAGGTGGCGCTTCACGGCCGCGACCAGGTCGTTGCTGGTGTCCTCGTCTGGGAGCTCGAGGTCGGCCGCGCCGGGCGGGGCAGCCCCTGGGGGGAAGAGCGCCTGCAGGCCTGCCTGCAAGCCCGTCTCTGCGGCCACCGTGGCCGGCCGGAAGCCACGGGCCATGGCCTTGCTGACCAAGCCCTCGCCGACCAGTGCCTCCACCGCCTTTGCGTCTTTCTGGGGGGGGTCGGCGCGCCGAGGTCGCCGCGGCGCGGTCCCGGCCGCTGCGTGTGCCTCCCTCCAGAGTGCGCCCCAGTCGCCTGCTTCCGCGAGGCGAAAGCGTCGCGTGAAGATGGCTGCGCGTCCCCCGCTGTTCCTCTCTGCCTTGCGCCCTCCTCTGGTCCTGCCTGGTTTGAAGAAGAGGACTCGGTCGAAGAAGGTGAAGAGCTTCTCTGCGCGTTTGAGCGCGGTCGCATCCCCGTCGCTGGTGGCCCGCAGGAGGCGTTCCGCCACCTGGCCGCGGATCTGCGCGAGAGCAGCCCCCACCGTGTCCGGGACGTGAAGCTCGGTCGCCACGTGGTGTCGGAGGTCATCGACGGTGCCCCACCAGGCCAAATTCTTGGGGAGCTCCCCCTCGTCAGCGGCGTCTTCTGGCAGGTTGGCGGGGCCCCCGTCGTCGGCGTCGAGCAGAGGGGCGCCAAGGGCGGCTGCTTGCCCGTGCTGTTCGGGGTCTGCTCTTGCGCGCTTGGCGCGGCGTGTGTCTTCGACGTATTCCGCTCTCGTGGTCTTGCCTGGCTGGTCACAGCACTCGCGGACGGCGTCCGCCTGCTCCGCCGCCAGGAGGCCGGCGCCCCCAAGTTGGTCGAAGGGCCCGAGCCCGCCCTCGACGCAGCGCGGGTGATAGTACAACTTGTTCGCCTGGTCGGGGCTGAACACGCGCAGCTCGCCCTTCTCGATGCGATCCCCGCAGCCGGCGGCCCGGCAGAGGCAAGCCCGCCTCGAGCGCAGGGCGTCCACGGCCCATTTGCTGACCAGGACGCCCCGGCCAGATGGAGGTCTGCATTGCGGGTGCGGGTTCGGCGGCGGCGGCGGCCCTCCGACGGGCCCGTCGCCCGGAAAAAGGTGGCCATTGGCACGCGGCCAGGAGGAGCAGGCCGACGAGTGGGTCATCCAAGGCTCCGCTTCCCGCCGCGACCACGCCTGCGCTGCACAGTCGGCATATCCAGGGGCGAACGTGTACGTCTCCGGCCATGGCCCCCAGGGCGGCGAGGCCGACGATCGAGCGCCACCCTCCGAGCAGCGTCGCCCGCGAGGCCATCCATGGCACCGGGCTTCCGGAGACCATCGCGCTGATCTGCATTGCGGGAGCCTGGCTGCCGAGGGCGCCGTGCGCTACGCAGCCCGCGCAGGCTGGGAGCCACACGTCTGGGCCCATGGCCAGAAGGAGGCCTCGGAGCGACAGCTCGCAAGACACCCGAGTGCACAGGAACGCAGCGTCCAGGAGGGCTCCGGTGAACGGCCCCGTCGGTGGGAGGAGCGAGTCTTGCGTGGTCGGGGCAGGCGGGCTGCTGCTGGATTGCCCCGCCTGTGCCCCTGACGCCACGGCCGCGCACGACCGCATATGCCGTAGGTAGAATAGCTCGGCGCTGCCATTGCGGTGGCCCTGCGGAGGTGTCTCCAAGGTGCGCGTGGCCCAAAGTCTGCCCACATAGATGCTTCTCCTGGGAATGGTCGTGCTCCTTCCTGTTGTGCTACTGGCCCTGCTCGAGGATGTCCCCGAAGAGCTGCTGCTGTCGGCTGTGCTGCTCCGTGTTGTGCTGATGGCCGCACTCGCACGTGTCGCCGTGGACCTGCTGCTCTCTGTTGCGCTGCTCCTGGTACAGGTCATGCCGCTCTCCCTTGCGCCGCTGGTAGTGACCGTGCTGCCCGTGATCACGCTGCCGCTCGCCTGGGACGCACTGCTGGTCGCCGAGGCGCTGGAGGTCCCAGCGGTTGTGCTCGCCGTCCTCGTGGTGTTGCTCTCGGTCGTACTGCTCGCCGACGTGCTGGGCGTAGTGGTGCTGCTGGTACCGGTCGTGCTCGTCACCCTCGTGATGCTGCTCTCGGTCGTATTGCTCACCGACGTGCTGAGCGTAGTGGTGCTGCTGGTCTCGTTCGTGCTCGTCACCCTCGTGGTGCTGCTCCCGGTCGTACTGCTCGCCGACGTGCTGGGCGTGTTGGTGCTGCTGGTCTCGGTCGTGCTCGTCACCCTCGTGGTGCTGCTCCCATTCGCACTGCTCGCCAGCTTGCTGGGCGTAGTGGTCCTGCTGGTCTCGATCGTGCTCGTCACCCTCGTGGTGTTGCTGTCGGTCGTACTGCTCGCCGGCGTGCTGGGCGTAGTGGTGCTGCTGGTACTAGTCGTGCTCGTCACCCTTGTGAAGCTGCTCTCGGTCATACTGGTCGCCGACGTGCTGGGCGTGGTGGTGCTGCTGGTCTCGGTCGTGCTGGGCATCCTCGTGGTGCTGCTCTCGGTCGTACTGCTCGCCGACGCGCTGGGCGTGGCGGTGCTGCTGGTACCGGTCGTGCTCTCCACACTCGTGGTGCTGCTCTCGGTCGTACTGCCCGCCGACGTGCTGGGCGTAGTAGCATTGCTGGTGCCAAATGTGTTCGTCACCCTCGTGGTGCTGCTCTCGGTCGTACTGTTCGCCGCCCTGCTGGGCGTGGCGGTGCTGCTGGTGCCAGTCGTGCTCGTCCCCCTCGTGGTGCTGCTCTCGGTCGTACTGCTCGCCGACGTGCTGGGCGCAGTGGTGCTGCTGGTCTCGGTCGTGCTCGGCACCCTCGTGGTGCTGCTCTCAGTCGTACTGCTCGCCGACGTGCTGGGCGTAGTGGTGCTGCTGGTACGGGTCATGCTCGTCACACTCGTGGAGATGCTCTCGGTGGTACTGCTCGCCGACGTGCTAAGCGTAGTGGCGCTGTTGGTCTCGGTCGTGCTCGTCGCACTCGCTTTGCTGCTCTCGGTCGCACTGCTCGCCAGAGCGCTGGGCGTAGCGGTGCTGCTGGTACGGGTCATGCTCGTCACGCTCGTGGTGCTGCTCCCAATCGTACTGTTCGCCGACGTGCTGGGCGTGGTGGTGCTGCTGGTCCCGGTCGTGCTCGTCACCCTCGTGGTGCTGCTCCCAGTCGTACTGCTCGCCGACGTGCTGGGCGTAGTGGTGCTGCTGGTCTCGGTCGTGATCGTCCTACTCGTGGTGCTGCTCTCAGTCGTACTGCTCGCCGACGTGCTGGGCGTAGAGGTGCTGCTAGTGCCGCTCGTGCTCGTCACACTCGTGGTGCCGCTCCCTCCTCCTCCTCCTCCTCCTCCTCCTCCTCCTCCTCCTCCTCCTCCTCCTCCTCCTCCTCCTCCTCCTCCTCCTCCGCCGCCTCATCCGCCTCCTCCTCCTCCTCCTCCTCATCCTCCTCCTCCTCCTCTTCCTCCTCCTCCGCCTCCTCCGCCTCCTCCGCCTCCTCCTCCTCCTCCTCCTCCTCCTCCTCCTCCTTCTCCTCCTCCCTCCTCCTCCACTCTCTTGCCTCATATCTCATCTCTCCTGCTGTCTGCTTCTCTCGTGTGCTTCTAGGAGGGGAACCTCGCGGCTCCCTGGTGGGCTGCGAAGTGCGCCATTGTCGCCCCTTTCGTGGGCTCCTGGCAGGCCCAGCAGAGTGGAGTTGTAAGCACATCCAGCCGAGACCTCGCGGCTCCCTGAGTGGCTGACGCCGCTTTCGTGTGTTCCTGGCAGGCCCAGCGGGAGTGGAGTTGTGAACACACCCAGCCGAGACCTCACGGCTCCCTGGGGAGGCTCCGAAAGGCACAACTTTCGCCACGTTCGTGGGCTCCTGACAGGCCTAGCGGAGTGGAGGTGTAAACACACACCCAGCCGAGACCTCGCGGCTCCGCTTGGGGGCTGCGAAGTGCGCAACTGTCGCCACTTCCGCGGGCTCCTGGGAGGCCCAGCGGAGTGGAAATGTAAACACACACAGCCGAGACCTCGCGGCTCCGCTTGGGGGCTGGGAAGTGCGCAACTGTCGCCACTTCCGTGGGCTCCTGCGAGGCCCAGCGCAGCGGAGTTCTAAACACACCCAGCCGAGACCTCGCGGCTCCCTGGAGGGCTGCGAAGTGGGCTCCTGGGAGGCCCAGCGGAGTGGAGTTGTAAACAGACCCAGCCGAGACCTCGCGGCTCCGCTGCGGGGCTGCGAAGTGCGCCACTGTCACCACTTTCGTGGGCTCCTGGCAGGCCCAGCGGAGTAGAGTTGTAAACACACCCAGCCGAGACCTCACGGCTCCCCTGGGTGGCTGCGTCATGCACAATTTCGCCACTTTCGTGGGCTCCTGACAGGCCGAGCGCAATGGAGTTGTAAACACACCCAGCCGAGACCTCGCGGCTCCCCTGGCAGGCCCAGCGGAGTGGAGGTGTAAACACACACAGCCGAGACCTCGCGGCTCCGCTTGGGGGCTGGGAAGTGCGCAACTGTCGCCACTTCCGTGGGCTCCTGCGAGGCCCAGCGCAGCGGAGTTCTAAACACACCCAGCCGAGACCTCGCGGCTCCCTGGGTGGCTGCGAAGTGCGCCACTGTCGCCACGTTCGTGGGCTTCTGGGAGGGCAAGCGGAGTGGAGTTGTCAACACACCCAGCCGAGACCTCGCGACTTCCCTGGAGGGCTGCGAAGTGGGCTCCCGGGAGGTCCAGCAGTGTGGAATTGTAAACAGACCCAGCCAAGACCTCGCGGCTCCGCTGGGGGGCTACGCAGTGCGCCACTGTCACCACTTTCGTGGGCTCCTGGCAGGCCCAGCGGAGTAGAGTTGTAAACACACCCAGCCGAGACATCACGGCTCCCCTGGGTGGCTCCGAAATCCACAACTTTCGCTACTTTCGTGGGCTCCTGACAGGCCTAGCGGAGTGGAGTTGTAAACAGAACCAGCCGAGACCTCGCGGCTCCCCTTGGGGGCTGCGAAGTGCGTCACTGTCGCCACTTTCGTGGGCTCCTGCGGGTCCTTCAACATGATCGTTCGTATTGATCGGTCCTGTGTATCGTCGCCACATGTGTAGAAACAGTTGGGTACGTCACAGGGCATTTGTTGCGCAGAACTGATGCCATATGCCTCCGTGGCGCCATCATAACAAAGGCATGGCAAGAAAACGGCCAGAAGTTTATAACGACCTAAACTTTCTAACGAGCCTGGTCACTCAAGAAGTGCAACTGCTTCCGATAGTGTAGAACCATGGTTGTTCAGGTCCGTACTCTGGGCCAGGAGGGAAATGCGCTGCCAACATTCCTCGGGAACGGATTCGGCATCGGAGTGATCATCATCTCCCAATAAGCCTCCGACAGCAAGCCCCGTTCGCCCCAGATGCTTGACGTAGAAGTTCAAGTACAGGGTACCTTGCTGCGTACGTCCATGAACAACTTTCAGATCGACCTTACCAAATCCAATCCATTCCGAAGCCACATTGTCGAAATTTCCCGATTGGAAGTGGTACCCTCCTGCCTGCTTCACATCTGCCCACGCCCCCGTGATGTTCAAAGCATGGAAATACATGTCCGAGCAACTTCCACCCATCCGGCGCGCCTCGGCCTCCACGCGGAGCAGCGCGTTCTCGGCGCTCATTCCCTTAGGAATGCTTATCAGGACGTGCCTGCCCTGCTTCATCACATCGAACCGCTCGCCGCGAATGTTCTGCAAATGGGGATCGCCAGTAGCGGCAACCGGACCCACTGCCCCCGTTGCGGGGGGGGGCGCGGGGCTGGACGTGGGGCTGGGCGTGGGGCTCGGCGTGGGGCTCGGCGTGGGGGGCGCCGGCGTGGGGCTGGGCGTCGGGGGGGCCGTGACGGCGGCACAGATCAGCGAGGCGCCGGGCTTGACGCTCGCGGAGTGCCAGAACCAATCGCCGCCCCAGGATCCCCACCCGCCGTCCCACTTCGCGCAGCTGCCGCCGTAGTTGTCCGTCGCATAAGGCCCTGCCGCGAGTCCGAGTGCAGCTCCAGCCGCGTCGCACTTTGCGGAGTCGGTGATGTTCGCAAACCCGCTGGGGCACAGCGACCCCGCAGTCGCTATGACGTACTGGTTCAGCTTGCAGATCGGCTCGGCGCCGGTTTCGGTGCTCGCGTGGTGGTAGTACCAGGTGGTCGAGCCGGTGCCACCATCCCACTTTGCGCAGTTTCCACCGTAAGCCCACCCTCCCCACCAGCCCAGGGTGAACCCGAGCGCGACACTGGCTGCGTCACACTCGGTGGTGTCAGCAATTGGCGAATACCCGGTGTAGCACCCGGTCGTAGTGCCAACCGAGTAAGTAGGCAACTTGCAAATGGATTGAGCGCCAGCCTGGTTGTTCGCGTAGTAATAATACCAGGTGGACGAGGCCGAAGAAACCTCACCCCACCCACCGTCCCACTTCGCGCAGTTGCCGCCGTAGGCCACGGACGGCCAATACCCGGCAGAGAGCCCGAGGGTCGAGGAGGCGACGTCACACTCCGTGGGCTCGATCACGCAGTGCGCGGGCTCGCCGCAGTCGTTCGCGACGTAGTATGCGACCACGTTGGCGCTCGTTGTTGTAGATCCGCCTGACCCCCCGAACGGCGTCCCGACCCGTGCGACCTGGGAGTTATTGTGCGCGCCTGGCGGCGCGGCGTGGGAGCTGTTGAACAGCGCAGCCTGGGGGTCGTGCACGCGATGATAGATCGCCTGGACCTGCGTCCCCAGCGCGAGACACGCACACACGACGGCGCGGATTATGGAGAACATCGTGGAAGGTCAGGCTCCGTGGGCCTGCTGGTGTGTGCGTCAGGGAGACGTGTGCAGGTGAACGCCTTGAATTCGGCAGACGTGGCCCAACCGAAGCGTCCTGAGCCGAAATGGCTACGGAGGGGGCATCTAGAGGCGCACTGGGGGCGTCGTGGGGGCCTATTGGAGGCTGGCTGGTGGTCTTGGAGTCTGGGGGGAATATCTTGAAGCCGTCGTGGTGCATCTTGGGCCCTCTTAGGGGGGCCTCTTGGGCCAACTCGGGGCCCTCTTGGACACTCTTAGGTCTTGGGGCCGTCTTGAACTGGTCCTAAGGGCCAGCGCCAGAGCAGCCGCGACCTCCCAAATTAGCTCAAGCGTGTCGGCACAGCCTTGATCGACGACCTGGCCGGGACCTCGTTAGTTGTCCTTCTTCGAATCATCCTCATATACATATACCGCCGCAGCGTCAACCTTTTCTGCTGATCTTACTCATCATCAAGAATGTGTCAAGAAAGGAGTTGAGTACGATCTCTGAAGCATTCAAAGTGATCCTGGATGAGCATCCAGGGTGGAACTGAAACATCGTATTACAAGACCAGCGCCTGGGCAGCGGTGACCCCCCACATTAGCTCAAGCGAGCCAAGTGCGCACCGGGATCGAACTCCGAGGTGCCTCCCGCGGACGTATTAGAATCGGTTTTGAAGCCTCTTGGGGTTTCCCTCGGGCCGTTTTGGGCGTGCACGAACTTCCCTGGTAAATTATCATGGCGAAGAACCCAACCATGCGCAATTGCGAATACCGCGTTGTGGGTACCGCTTTCGGTGAAACTCCGTATGGGGCCACGAACCGTGTAACGGGTGTGCCAAAATGGGCGTCGGGCGCGTGCGGCCTGTGCCACGGGGGCCTTCGGTGAAGCTCCCTATGGGGCCACGAACCGTGTGACGGGTGTGCCAAAATGGGCGTCGGGCGCATGCGGCCTGTGCCACTGGGGCCTTCAGTGGAGCTCCCTATGGGGCCACGAACCGTGTCAGCGGTGTGCCAAAATGGGCGTCGGGCGCATGCGGCCTGTGCCACTGGGCCTTCGGTGGAGCTCCCTATATGGCTAGGAACCGTGTGAGGGGTGTGCCAAAATGGGCGTCGGGCGCGTGCGGCCTGTGCCACTGGAGCATTGGGTGGAGCTCCCTAGACGGCCTGGAACCGTGTGAGGGGTGTGCCAAAGTGGGCGTCGGGCGCATGCCACCTGTGCCACTGGGGCCTTCGGTGGAGCTCCCTGTGAGGCCACGAACCATGTGAGGGGTGTGCCGAAATGGACGCGAAGCGCATACGGCCTGTGCCACTGGGGCCCTCGGTGGAACTCTCTACGGGGCTACGAACTGTGTGAGGGGTGTGCCAAAATGGGCGTCGGGCGCATGCGGCCTGTGCCACTGGGGCCTTCGGTGGAGCTCCCTATGTCGCCACGAACCGTATAACGGGTGTGCCAAAATGGGCGTCGGGCGCATGCGGCCTGTGCCACTGGGGCCTTCGGTGGAGCTCCCTATGCCGCCACGAACCGTGTGAGGGGTGTGCCGAAATGGTTGGCATGCGGAGAGCAGAGGCAGGGAGGGGAGGAGGAAGGAGGGGGCAGCGGGAGGTGAGGTGAGTGACGCGGGGCGCTGTCTCTTCAAAACGAAGACCCAGCACCACAGGATGGCTGGGAAAAACTAGGTGCGAGCCCAGGGAGGATCACTTCAATTGAACGAACACCAGGTGCACCTGAGGGGGAGATAAACAAGAATTATGCATAGAAATGAAAATTCAACGACAAACCAAACAGTTAGATGCACACCATATCTACATAACACAAAGTACGCGTACAAAAAAAACTGCGTGTGTGCATGTGCAACGAAACGAACCAACGAAGAGGAAGGGGAACAACAGCAGACAGAAAAACAAAGACACGCCTGCGCGGTATCCTCGCCCACCAGCGACCAGGCCAGCACCGAGAGGCACGCGCGGCGGAAGGCGGACGCCTGCCCGAACTTGCAGACGGCGCTCACGGCGTCGGGGCCGACGCGGCAGGCTGCCCGCGCCGCCTGGTCGCGCTCGGCGATCCAGGGGTGCTCCAGGGCCTGCCTGGCGGTCATTCGCGCCCTGGGCGGGGCCACCAGCAGCCTGCTCAGGAAGTCCTGGGACACCCGAATGGTCTGGGATGACTGCGGTTAGGGGCAACTCCGGTTTGGGCCCCCGGAGGCGCGAACCCGTAGCTGCCCCAGGGTTGGACGCCCGAATTCTCCGGGATAACTGCGGTCTGGGGTAACTCTGGGTTGGGCCCCCGAGGCGCGAATCTGTGGCTACCCCTGGCTGCCCCAAGCCCTGACGACTCGGGGCTCAGGAAGTCCTGCGCGCTCGGGGAGAGCCTCGCCCACTCCTCGGGGCCGTGGGAGAGCCTCCCGGCCTTGACCTCTGCGCTGCGATTGGCCGCGTCCCCGGCGAAGGGCGCGCACCTGGAAGGCCGCCAGCCGTGCACCCGCACCGACCCCGGTCAGGCCCGCGCTGGGCCCAGGAGCGGCGCATGCCGCCCTCAGGGCTCGGCCGACGACGACGACGACGACGACGACGACGACGACGACGACGACGACGACGACGACGACGACGTGCCCAGTCGCCACTGGGGGGCGCAGTGCACCGATCCTGCGCCCAGGGGCGGGCGCGGCCAGGATCGGGCGCAGGCGTGGCGACGAGTCTGGCGTCCCCCGACGCGCCCGAACAGCAGCTGGTAGGCCGACTCCCCGACGCCCCACATGTCCGCCGCCAGCCCGTCGGCACCGGCGACGAAGCGGCTGCGGCTGAAGTCCACCAGCTTCAGGTGCCTGCCGCCCTGGGCCTCGAAGACGAAGTGCTGCAGACCCACGCCGCCGTGGGCCACGCGGCGGTCGTGGAGGTAGCTGATCGCCAGGAGCATCTGCCACACCGCGTCCTCGGGCGGCGGGGAGGCGTCAAGCCCACGTCCACGGCCACGCGGCCTGGGCTGCCTCGGCCGCGGCCCCATGGATACGGGGCGGCGCTGCGCCAGTGCCCCGCGCGGAGCGTGTCCATTGGATCGCGTAGCCGTGGGACCGCGCCTCGGCATCCAGACCGCGAGGGCATGGGCATGGACGTGCTCGTCGCCCGTGGCCTGTGCCTCCCTCTCGCCGAAGCGCCCCTTCACGTCGAGGCGGTTCTGCAAGTCGCCCCCCGCTGGCCACTCGGACACCAAATACAGCTCGCCGTCCGCCTCGTACGCGTCCATGAGCTGGGCCAGGTGCGGGTGGTCCACGCTGAGGCAGACCTCGACTTCCTCTCCGACACTAGAACAGGTCCGCGCCCACACCGCCGCGGGTTCGTGACCCGGGGCCTCGAGGAATGGCGACGATGGATGACCCCAGACCTCCGACGCCGTAATGTGCTCACAACGAAGACCCCCCCGAGGTCTCGACCTCTTCCCCGGGACCAGCTTTTCATCCTGAGTGCCTTTCTGACCGTCCCAGGGGCCAGTAAGCGCACCCAGAAGCCGAAAATTGCGACAAAACCTCCGTCGTTATTCCTTTCACGACGCAGGAAGGTGGCGGTCTGCCCGGCCACGCGGGAGGACAGATATCTGCATCTTCCACTCCTCGAGATCCCAGGGCAACTCCGAAGCAGTGGATCTGGACATGCTCTGGCGGTGGATCCTGCTCGAGGCGCTTCCGCTCGCGCGTGCCCAGTCCTGCCAGTGGAGACCCTACTCCTCCTCCTCCTCCTCCTCCTCCTCTTCTCCTCCTCCTCCTCCTCCTCCTCCTCCTCCTCCTCCTCCTCCTCCCTCCTCCTCCTCCCTCCTCCTCCTCTCCTCTCGTCCTCCTCCTCCTCCCTCCCCCTCCTCCCTCCCCCTCCCCCTCCCCCTCCCCCTCCCCCTCCTTTCCTTGTCCTTATAAATGACTCCTCCCTGTCGCACCCCGAGGCGGGTCGAAAGGGCGGGCCGGGCGTTTCGCCTGAGACTTCCTCACCATTGAAGATCCTAATCTTGGGCATGGGCAAAAGCTTCACAAATGGAGGGCGGATCGCTTCCAAAATGTGTCCCTCGCTTCAGCGCCGCGCACATGCGTTTCGTGAATTTGCAAGAGCTTCACGGATTGAGGGCGGGTCGTTCTCAAAATGTGGCTTTCGCATCAGCACCGCGCACATGCGTTTTATTAATTTGCAAGAGCTTCACGGATTGAGGGCGGATCGCTTCCAAAATGTGTCTCTCGCCTCGGCGCCGCGCACATGCGTTTCGTAAATTTGCAAGAGCTTCACGGATTGAGGGCGGGTCGTTTTCAAAATGTGGTTCTCGCCTCAGCGCCGCGCACATTCATGTCAAAAAGCTGCACGAGTTTCACGGATTCTCAAGATTAACGTTCAAGGAATGGCGTTTCGGAACGATTCAGGATCGTCAGGGCACAACAGTTACGTTGATTCGCGGTGTTGATGTCCCAGGAAGTGTGTTTCGGCACGACCCAGGATCGCCGAGACGCGGCGTTGAAATCCTGGGAGTGGTCTCGGCACGCATCAGGATGTTCACACGATTGTCCCCCAACGGGGCAAATTCCCCCAGTGGAAATGAACGCCTGTAGGGGCTTATGATGACGGAGCTTCGAGGGAGGGTGTATGCCAACATGGTTGAAGAGTCTTGGGTTTGCACTGGTCCTCCTCCTCCTCCTCCTCCTCCTCCTCCTCCTCCTCCTCTTCCTCCTCCTCCTCCTCCTCCTCCTCAGTCCTCCCCCTACCCCTACCCCTCCCCATCCGTCTCCAGAGGTCTCCGCTGAGGCCTGTGGAGGTCACAGGAGGTTCCCCCCACAAGAAAACACGAGTAGATCCCCTCCTGCCAGCGGCACCGCCCTCGCCGCGAACTCCGAGCCGTCGGACTTCCGCCGCGCAGCCACGTACGCCCGGTCCCAGGCGTCGCGGCCAAGCACCCGCTGGAGGAGCCCGTAGTCCTGACCGAAGTCCCTTGGCGACAGGTGACACCGCGAGCGACACCTGCCGCGCAGCGGGATCGACTGCGCGGGGATGGGCCCAGAAGCCCCCTCCCCCTGCTCCCCCTCCTACCCCTGCCTTCCCTTCCTCCCCCTCCATCCTCCCTCCCTCCTCCTTCTCCCTCCTCGGCCTCCTGCTCCCACATCTCTCCCCCCCTTCTCCCCCAGTCCCCTTCTCCTTCTCCTCCTTGTCTCCTCCTCCTCCTCCTCCTCCTCCTCCTCCTCCTCATCCATCATCATCAATCATCATCATCATCATCATCGTCGTCGTCATCGTCCTCATCATATCATCATCATCATCTCGTCGTCGTCGTCGTCGTCGTCGGTCGTCGTCGTCTCATCATCATCATCATCATCATCGTCATCATCATCATCATCATCATCATCATCATCATCATCATCATCATCATCATCATCATCATCATCATCATCATCATCATCATCATCATCATCATCATTATCCTCCTCCTTCTGCTCCTTATCATCCTTAACCTCCCCCTCCTCCTCCTCCTCCTCCTCCTCCTCCTCCTCCAGTAAGTGGACAAAAAAAGAACCCTTTCGTGTTCGACCCCGTGTCCGTTCCCCCCCTCCCAGATTCAGAGCCGGGTCAGGCCTAGCCAAAGCCCTGGGGGTCAAATGTTTTGTCCTCTCATGCCCGCGCTGCCGGATGCCTGAGACCAACTTTGAGTATGGGGGGAGAGGGGGTGCGGAGTCCAGGGTTCCACTTGTTGTCCATCTACGGTCCCTGGTGTCTCCTCCGTGCGGTACCCAACTGGCACGGCTGCTCTATCGCAGTGATGATGGGTCTCTCAAGAGAAAGGGCGAACGAGCGAACGAGCGAGAGAGCGAGCGCGCGGTGTCGGTCCAGCGGGACCAGCCCTATGAGGGCGGCGCGGGGGGGCCGGAGCCTTCAAAAGACAACGAGGCAGGGGGATTGCTGTACGCTTCAACCTACGCTCTTTGAGAGGCCAGTGCGATGCGTGCAAGAATGCGCGTTCGCATTGAAAAAATGCTGACGCGACTTGAATATGACGCGTATTTATATCGAAAGCCACCAACGACTCCGATCCATGCATCTAGATTGTACAACACACTGTAAACAATGTACCTTACTGTGGGCTGTTCCCGCTTGTCTTAACAACTACATTGCGAATCAGAACGTGTATCCCACGATGCGGAAGCGAACGCCTGGCAGATCTGCCCTCCCACGCGTTTCTGGCATTCTGGGTCTTGCAATACGATCGCGCAGGAATGCTCGACAACTTCTGCTATACATGTGGGCGTCCACAACTCCTTTTGGGACTTGATAAGTTGAAGCCCTTGAACGATGCATGTGCGACCATTGTTGCCAACGCGTAAATGCTATTTACGTTCGAGTATGATGAAGCTGCCAATTTCCCCAACACTTTCCCACAACTTCCAAGCAGCACGCGCAGAATCAATTATCGAATCGGCATGCGCTCTTGCAGTTGACTGCAACTGCAGCAAAGAGGACTCCACCGACTCGAAATCATACGGAGCACGAGAGAGTTGTTCCCATGTTACGTCGAATATGCGATCGTCCGCAGTATCATGTTGTGTCACCATGTTCACGAAGATATCGAAAGCGTCGTACGGTACATCTGGCGTTGTTGCTCATGTATACCACTTGTGGTGAAGCCAACCCACTCTTCCAATACATTTCTGAAGAACGTGTCTCCTGCGACCGGGGTCGATGTGCCGTGACACCCAGAGAAAAGATAATCATGCATATGTTCGGCCACCCGCTCCAGTTTCAGAAAATCGATGAGAAAGTACACTTGTTTCAGGCGCTCCATTCGCGTCAATAAGGGATTGCACCATTTGTTTGTATTTTCGTCGGCTTGGGGCGTGACAAAACTATATTTGCGCTCTGCTGGTAGGGCCGCTTCACTAGATATAATATTTGTTTAGCATGCCGCAAGACTCTTGAAAAATTGTTGTGAGGTTAACAACCTGCTGCTTGAAGCCTGCAATTTCCTCTTCAATCCGATATGTGCCTTCCCTCCGTTGTTTGTAATCAATTTTCGGCACATGCCTGTGTGGCATTGAATGATGCGCGCCAATAAACCCCAACGATTCACGATGCAACACCCGCACAACGCGTAGTGCCAGAGCGATCAATTCAACTGAAAACAACGACAACGACAATTCGAACAAGGCGTTTCACACAAAGAGGCAAAACACCCGTGGCGAAATGCGCGGATGTGTTCGATATCTCTTTCTGTTTCCCGGTCCTCACGGTCCTCACATGTTTACGGCAATCCTCATTCTGGCCCCCACGGCCCTCACATGTTTTACAGCGGCGAAGCCGCTCAGGACGGTAAGGTGACAAAAGAATAGAATCGCTTCGTGTTCGAACCTGTAATCGTCCCCCCCTCCCCCCAGATTGAAAGCTGGGTCGGGCCTAACCTAAGCCCTCGGGGTTCCACATGTTTGTCCTCCCGCGGCTGTGCTGCCGAATGCCTGGGACCAGCTTTAAATATGGGGGACGGGCGGGGGGCGGAGTCGAACCAGAACTCCTGCCAGCAGCCTCCCTGCGCGCCCGCTCAAGCCCAAACCTCCTCCTCCTCCTCCTCCTCCTCGGTCGGTCGGTCGGTCGCAAGGCGGAGAGTCGACGCCAGAATGGAGAGACGAGGGCGAGAATACCATTGGGTGAAGAACGGAGCAGCGGCACCGGCAAGCAGACCAGCAAGTGGATCTGAGCAGATGCCAGCGCCTGTAGGCGCGATCCCACTGTGGCCGTGGGCTGGCACAAACATAAAACAAGGGGTACTATCGCTTAAAGTGGATGGGCACTTAAGTTAGAAACAGGAAATAAGGGAGGCATAAAAAAAGAATAGACCTTCCCCCTTGGTAGACAGGAGTGCGACTGCCTGAGGCGCAGCAAAGCTTCCAATGTGGAACACTTCACACCATGCAACTACTGCCAAGAAGGTGGCGCGCCTGGCGGAGCTTCGGTGGGCTCGGCAACCTTTCATTGCATGGCCATTCACACTCCTATCTAGTTCGTGGTGGTCAGCCACGTTTGCAACTCTGCAACTCAACAGGATAATGATGGACAGAAGACAAGAGAAGCAGACCGACACGGCACATCACACACTCGGGTCCGTCTGAACTGTGGTTTGGTGGATCATGCAATCCATGGCCATCGTTCCAACCACGTAGGGGTCGAGTGGGGATATGAACCGTCGTAGTCCGATCGGCACCTCCCATCCGTCGTCGCAACTGCTGAGGTCGAACGGGCGAGGGGGGGGGGAAGGGATTACAACTTATCTCAGGACAACGTTCCGAAATCTCCTGAACCAGCGAAGCTGCCAAAACCTGGCACAACTGAGACGGATATGACTTAGTGCGCACAGATCGCCAAGAACTGCTGCCTACCCCCGATAGACCCCTATGCGGCTGGGAGTGGGTGCACAAGCCTCCCCCAACTCTAGCCCCCAAGAGGGTGGCCATGGCTGGTAAGTGGATGGCCAGGAGGGTGGTCGGTTTCAAGGCTCTCGCACCAAACATGCACTGGTGAATATGGTGGGCCTCGACCCCAGGAAGCCCCAGAAGCCGAGTGAACTGGGGGAGATGCCAGGCACTAGGGACCCCGGGATCCAAGGGGTTGATGGAGGGATGCTCCATGGTGGCTGGCACCTGGTGTACCCAAGCCTCGTACAATAGTCTAACTGTAGTGCGCAAGAGTACATTGTCCTGCCGTACCTGGTCACTCTCACGACGGTTGAGATGCCCTAGCCCCTACACATGGCATGCAATGCGAAGGGGTCGAGGGGGTCGCCTTCCTTCAGGCGCGTCGCTGCGGGCAGGCGAGACTCGCACCGAAGACCAGGTTTCACAGGGCGGCCCCGCAAATATGGCCGCCACGCGCCCCGAGCGAAGGAGAGAAATCCAGAGGGCAACCGCGTCAGGTGCCGTGAGATCCCCAAGAACTGGATGGCCGGGGACATCCACGCTCAGAACCTCAACAAAAACAAGGAAACGCCCCACGATTTTCTCGACATGCCATTGGAAATCATAAAGCGTCCGAAACCCCGAGAACAGGTGCAGGATAAACTCGAGGGGCCTGGTGGGGAGCGAGAAAAAGCAAAAGGCCTCAGGGAGAGGGGGCTCGGGGGGGACTTCAACAACCATGGCAGGACGGGTTTCCTTGAGCTGCCTTCGCGTGAACCTGTGCCAGGGGCCAACAGGGGGGCCCTCGCATTGCCTGGGGGGTCTATCTGCAAAGTTGTCGGGCCTCCCTTTCTGGCGGCCGGCCGCCGATACGCGCCTTGCCTCGAGCCTGGCGTCCTCGACTTCCCGGTCGGTTGCGCCACTCCTGGCCTGCTCCAAGAAAAGCGGCATGATGGAGAGTTACGCAGGTGCTGGGTGAGGCGAGGAACGGAGGAAAAGTCCTTGAGGCACATTTGACAACAAGATCCCGTTGCAAGTCGGGACGGCGTTCCTGGCTCCTTGCGCCACTTGCCCACGTGGGCGTGCAGTTGCTGCTCGGACACAGCTTGGCGAGAGCAACTGGGGCACGCAAACAAGGCGTCAGGGCAGCAGGGCGCGCCCAAGGGGGCACTCTCGGTGGCCTTGCTCAACTCACGCTCCCATATCATCCTGTGCTGAACGTCTTGCTCGCATGGCTCGGCGCAGAGGATGGCAGCAGCCAAAATATAGCGAAACGCACGAGGGTGGCCGAGCACAAACCGAACCAAACCAGCCGCAGACAGATCATCAGGCCTACGAGTCGGTTCAGTATGAAACCACAACCACTCAGCATCCCCCTTCAAAAACTGAGCCCATCCCTTAGCGCAGTCCCAGGCAACATCAACTAATACCCGAACAAGGGGAGGGGCATGTGCAAGCATGCGAGCAAGGTAACGTAAGCGTGAAATGCACATAACAACTGGGTGGGGGAGCCGCTGGGCGCCATACAGAACCTTGGCCGCTAGGTCATGCTCACTAGCATTGCTGGTAGAAGCCAAGTTAAGCGCA